TCTGAACATGAGGAAGAACTTCTTCACTCTGAGGGTGACAGAGCACTGGAACAGGCTGCCCAGGGAGGTTGTGGAGTCTCCTTCTCTGGAGATATTCAAGACCCGCCTGGAAAAGGGCCTGTGCCGCCTGTTCTGGGTGACCCTGCTTCGGCAGGAGGGTTGGACTAGATGACCCACAGAGGTCCCTTCCAACCCCTAACATTCTGTGATTCTGTGATTTGTAACACATGATAAAATGCAGGCAAAAAAGCTTATATTTGAAAGAATCTTATAAGTTGAGTGCACACTATGACAGAATATGAATTATCTAACAGGCTGCAGAGTAATGCCAGTTCAGTCTGGAAGACAGATACAAGCACTGAGCGTAGTTTGAGCATAGAAGATAAGAGTGTAATCCTCTGTCTGCTTTAACAAAAGCTATTTAAAATGAACAAAAAAAAGAGTAAAATAATAGAAACTATTCAGAGCTTGATATAAAGCATCTGGCTGAAAGCTAATTGTACAATATTTACACCATAGAACCCAGATGACTGAAAACAGTGATTCACAATAAATAATGCACTGAATTTAACTCAGGTACAAGGTACCACTGGTAACTCTTGTACTCAGTTTAGGCCCACGACGACAGTGGGACTGCATGTTCAATCTCTTTATTTGCTCATTGACTATGTGAAAGGAGATAGGGGATACTATTAATCATTGGACCTTTCCTCACCTGTTCCCCTGTGGGGTGATCATGCCTAATAAAAATTCGAGCTATGTTGGTAAACTGAGATTGGCAAAAGAGTAATTTTTTCTTTGCCTGACTGGATAAATATGCAGCTGGTTTTGGAATCACTTCTTGGGTGCGTGAAATTAAAAGGTGTTATTTTTAAATGCTCCTGTATGTATGCAACAGAATTTAGTCATCTGAAATGTCATGGCCAAGAAATACAAAAGATGCAAGACTATGAGCAGTACACTTAGAAAATCAAATGAATGCTCCTGCTTAATATTGTCCCTTCATTGTTTTTTTTAAAACTCAGGCAGTCCTTCTGTATGTAAATATTTCTACCTTTTGTCACATGTTCCTCTTATCACAAAGCACTACGTTCAGTTTAAGATGGGCTCAAAACAGCTGTAGTTGCTGGTTAAATTTCTTGCCAGGCGTGGAGCTTTTTCTTCTGTTTTTATGTTCATTTTTAAAGGAAATATAGTTTGATTTCTATAAAACAGAAAAATGAAATATAGCTATGTATTTTGTCATGTTTCTGGAATTCTAAAAGGGTTTTACGACCAGACTGTTCTGTTCTTAGTTCATTCCTTGCACTTTGATCTATGTATGCATGCTGGTGAGAAAACCATTGTTGGTATCTGGGAGGGAGGCAGAGAGCTATACCCCAGCAGCTTCCCCGCACGCACAACGCTTGCAGCATGAATGGTTCTGGGGGAGGGCTTAGAAGTACTGCAAGGCACAGTCACATCTATTGTACCTCTGAGGGCAGCAGACCTTCCTGTACCAACTAGACCCTGCCGCCCACTATGTCTATGCAGCATAAACCCTGAATTCAGTAACAGCTGTTATCATGGTGCTTTTTATCTGGGAGGCAAAGTCTAAAATTGCATCTGACCTCTATATACACAGAGACGCAAGTGATGAGCGCTCTGCCTAGATACTAAAAGGTTTTGGATGAAATCAGTAAGAGTCAGGTACCTAAATGAGTAAGAGTCAGGTACCTAAATTAATACTCTGAGGATAATATCTTCTGTGTCTTTTGCCGATGTGTGCTGTAAGGTAGACTAACAAACAGTAATCTATCAAATGATATACTGTGAGCCTTAGAAAACACCACAAGTCTTTAATGTTGCTTTATCCCAAATATTTCCCTAATATGTATAAAACGAAGCCACTCCATTTACTAATACAATCATACAAGTAATTAAAATACATGTGGTATAGATTTAACGTTTTTATTTATAGGTTGAGCTTCTGGTTGTCCTAGGTCAATGATTTTTAGCAACAAAACTCCATAAGAATAGATTTTCTTAATAATGCCAATAGACTATACAAAACAAAAAGTAAACAAACACATCTTGGTCTGTTAAGTCTCTGTGTGTATCTTTGCATATATACCTTTCTGTACAGCACAAGCTCAGGGAAACAGATCAAAACCACAAGCTATATGTCCAGACAAATAATCTTTTTAAGCTTTGCTCAAATTGCCACACTAAAAAATTAAATGAATTGGAATTCTGTTCCTCCATGTAAAGACTTGAAATGAGATTTAAATCAGCATGTGCTTGGTAAAACGTAGCACTTTGATGTCTGCTCCATAAAACTGACAACTGCGTGTTTTTCTTCTGAATTTGATTAGATAAATTGGTCAAACTTGGAGAATATCTAACAGTTACACAATCAGACTGAAATTTGTTCAGAAAATCATAACACAGTGAGGGAAACCTAATTAGTTTTGTCAGCAAATCTAAAGGCACTAGCTTGCATTTCCAGAAACTGTCTAAAGCTTTTACAAATACTCTAATTCAGGTAAAATCGGGCTAATTATATGTTGGGCTCAAAAAATCCTCATTAAAAGAACATTACTGGGTTTATAATGTCCAAATCTGAAAAGACAGGAAATACTGCATTTAATAAGCAATTGGTTTGACAACCTGGTACATATATTATTATATTAATTACACGACTGTAAAATTTGCTCCACAGACCTCCAGACCTGTACAATATTTAGCTACTTAATATCCTTTTTAGACCCGCTGTGTGGACATGGTGTTTACTGTACTTTATTTGAGTTCTGCTGCGCAGAACCATATTGATTTCCTTTTTCATGTTTTTCCCTGTGGTTCCTGTCACTACAATATCTCAATGCTTCACAAATTCTAGTGCTTATTTTGCCAGTACCTAGGGTAAGACACAGGGGTGGTGACAACCGCCTTCTACATAAGGGGTGCAAGGTAGAGGGAGATCCTATGATTTTTGAGTGCTTTTTTTGAGATACCTAGGATCTGATTTTTCAAAATATTAATAATAGAGAACTCTGAGATTTGAAACACTATACCTGCTTTCTGCTGCAACTGTAAATGCTCAATAATTTTATGAATCAAAACTAAAGTGCAAGCATCCAGAAAATGAGAATACAGTTAACAGCCACATGTGAAAAGTATAGTTTAAATAACCTGCCAAATATAAACAGGAGCTTTCTGGCAGAAGCTGAGAAAGTCAAATTTTCTCAGGTAATAGTTAACTCTGTTGCCCACTCAAACTTCCTTTCACTTCATGTACTAGCTTTAATGCTAATTGGTTAATTATTACAATAAGTCCTGAAATTTTTATTCATTGATTTTCTTTCCAGATATATTTGTTGAATTTTCACAAGCCCAGATTTTCTACTTCAGAGGTACTCATCGCTTGGAGAGGCAGCAGTAATCTTTAGCTTTATTGTTGGTTGTCTTTTTTTTTTAATTTATAAGATTTGCTTTTGTTTTAGAGCATTTAGAGCATTTGTGTGGCTATATGGCAAATTTTATAATATTTGGCTAATAGGTGTCAGTAATTACATTCTCTCTTATGTTTCTCACTCTTAAAAATCAAAAGCAAGCTCTTGTAGAAATCTCTTTAATGTGTGTGTATAAGAATGGAGAAAGGCAGGGAGAAAAGGTGAAAGAAAAACATGAAAGGACTCTCCAGATTTTCTGGAAGTAGATGATTAAAACAGTTATAAAGAATAAATCTGAAGAATTTACTACAGAAGAAATTTTCAATAGAAGTCTAATCCTGTGTGTACAGATGTGGTACTTCCACTCACTTGTTTACAAGACCTGTTAACCAGAAGAGAAGCTAAATAGGCAACTAAGCATTGAAACATTGAAACAACATCTGCTCTAGCAATATTTACACAAAAATTCAGCTCTTATTTTTAAGGATGTTAAGTATGCCTCCTTTTATTTTTTTTACCTTTAGCTTTTGTCTAGTTTTCACTAATTATAACAGGTAATGGGGCAGCGTTTTGCAGTTTTATTGTGCAGGGACATAGTTTTTACATATGAAAGCATATTTAAGTTACTCAAGAAGTTGCAGTTTAGTACAGAACAAAGTGAACATGCAGAGAAATCACCTTTTGTCTTTTAGTAAGAATTTTAAATTTGGAGTTAATATGCTGATGTTTTAGTATAGAAAACTTATTTCACAGTTGGCAAGACACACATATTTACATATTTCAGTGGGAGCTTCTCCAGGCGCTGGTGAAAGAAAGACAGAGAACACTGAAAGTATATTGAAATAACTGGAAGGCACAGTCAATTTACTGTTGTCATCTGGGAGTGTCCAAAAAGGTTCAGGCAGTATGGTTTGTAGAGCGTTTTGCTCATTTTCTGCTCTTAAGTAGCTGCACGTGATAGCATACAGACGCAGAGGCAGCAAAGTTGCAGGACAGGGGCGACTCTCAGAGTTACTTACGTTGACAGCCCAAGCTGTGCCAGATATATCCCGGCAGACATTTATCACATTTAGGCCCTGATGTTCCCTCCTTACACTCACAAAATCCTCTGTCATTACAGCGATCATGGACTGAACCAAAAGGGTTACAATAACAGTCTGCAGAAACAAGACAACACATACACACTGGATTCAGGTCTACATATGGTGATAATTCATTCAATACCAATAAAGGGTGCATTTGCAGTGCTAAAGGTAAAGGAAGACTGTCTATTAGTAGTGAACGTAACTACTACAGGTCCATTTATTTGTTTGCATATGTCATCTCAGGAAGCGACATTTTATGTGGTAAAGAGAAAAAGTAACCAGAAAAGATATAAAGGCAGAAGATACCATGTTCTTTGAGGATAAGTGATTGTAACAGATTTTCTTTGGTAAGAACATTTTTGACAATTTAATGAACATTAGAAAAGCTTTGTATAGTATGGATAAATCAATGTGCCATCAGGGTGAAATGTTTCACATTATTAAAATAGGCTTATCTATATTAATCAATATTGTCAGAAGTGCTGAATGTCTTTACAGGGCTATATAAATGCACTTTACTATTTCCAAGAAAGTCTTCCTTTATAGTTTTGAGCAATATAATAATTTATGTGGCTATTTCCCATTCAATTCATAAGATTGTATTTATCAGTGACGTTAATAAACCTTTTACATATTCCACAATGAAAAGCTTGAGTGAGCAGTAATGTAAAGCAAAACTTAACAGAACTGGCTTTACGCTGTCATTTTCATTTCTCTCGCCTCCCAGTGGGCATATGGAAAATGCATTGAGGCTCATTCCCCATTGTATATTTTCCACGTGTGTTCAGCTAATTAAAGAATGACTAAGGTAACCCATTTCCTCCCACAGCATTTACTGTGTTGTTCATTCACAGCCCTTTTTCTTAACGTGATTACAATATCTGTGTTCAGCTTTCAGCTAGCTGAACAAAGAAGACAAGACAGTAGCTACCAGAGCTCATTTCTGGCACTCGTGTTCTTCAGTTTGTTTCCTATTATTAGTATTATTTTTTAAATGAAGGTCTATATCTTACTTGTATGTAGACCCATGTAGACCCAGAGTAACTCCACTGTCAACTGAGACCACAGGCACATTTTGGCAGCATCTTATCTCTGCTGCTGCTGAATGCAAAGGATATAGAAATCGATTCCTGAATCTGGGCAACCTGCTGGGAGTCTGGCTTTATATGTTTGTGAATCAGTGCTGCTTTGATGACTACCTTTGGCAATTGTTCCCTAGCATTAGGTTAAAGCTCAGCAATATTGTAAATGACAGATTGGAGTTGAACCGGGAAGTAAAATATTAAAAAAATCGAAAGGAAAAACTGTAACAGGAAAAAAATTACCAGGAAGACATTTGTCATCTGTTGCCTCAGTGTTTATTAACTATAAATTACAGATGGCACTTTGAACATTTGGCATGCTGAAGAAGAATACTTACCTTTGGCAAACAGCTCCACAATAATAAAAGAGTCAATTAGCTGGCAACATTCATTAATGAAGTTGAAAACTGACAGGCCAAAAAATACTGTCTAAGGCTGAACAGAATTAATTCACTGAGCACAGTGAGTGCCATTTGAAAAGCTGGCAATTCTGATGTTAATCAGATGTATGTTTTGTTTATGTAAACAGGCATAGAACTGAGATATGTATTGAATGCAGGAAGTAAAATTTGCTTGAAAAGTGTTTATAGAAAACCTCGAAAGACAAAAAGCTTGGAATTACATTAGAAACCAAGGGCCCGGTTCTTGTACATTAAAAATAGCTTAGTTTGGACGTAATGGAGTTACAGTGATTTAAACAAGTAGTTGTGAAAGAAATCTACGGCCTATGATATTGAATCTTTATAGATACATAATGTTAAATTTTCCAGAGAGCAAGAACCTGACCCTGAATCAGTGAAAGCTTTCCTACTGATCTCTGTCATATAAATATGTAAGAAGTACCAGGCCCACATATTGCTGTTTAAGGGAAAGTAGATAGTGGAAACAAAACTTTAAGCCAGGCCCTTTTACTAAAGTAGTAGATCAAATCAGAACACTGCACAGACCTAGTAACCTTTAGTAAGTAAATCTAGCCTCTGTCTTTCACAATACACAATTGATACCACGGATATATAGCCTACAGAGGTCCACAGAACATCCAAGCTCGTGGTTCAACACGGTATCACAGACCGTGGAACACCTCCCAAGACCTGCCAAATACTTAAGATATTAAGAAGCTCTAAAGCCACAAGTCCAGTGTGCCATGGGGAGGCAATCAGTGTCTCCAATGCCCTTACAACAGGGCATTAGATAACATTAAATTAACATTCCCAGATCATCCTAATAAGCAGACCACACACCATGTTCCAGGGTGGGGAAAAAGCCTCTGCAGATTTGAACTGGGAAGGAATTTTCATCCTAACCTCCATCTGGTGACTGTTTGAAGGATCGGAAGATGACAGCAGTAGTCATCTGTTCACTGAGATTCACTGTATCAACGTGATGCTGCCAACAAAACAATGAAAAATCAGTTAAAGAGGAGGTTGAGAAAATGGGCCAAAGCTTGCAGGCTTGCTGCTTATCAGCCTGGGTTGACAGTGGCTACAGGACAACCCTCAGGGTTCACTCAACCATATATCATTAAGGTTTCTAAAGGTCTCACAGGTGTTAACTCAAGCTTAAAGCCTAAGTGACTGAAAGGTTAGTTTTCTTATAGGTGTGACAATAATTACCATTTCAGTATTTATGTTGTGAGGCAAAGGAAATGTTTTATTACTCTGGGTCTACTTGGTGGTTTCCATGCTATCCATGCTTGCCAGTGTGTGTATTCACTGAAATAAACAGTTATTAGGACTTTATCAAGACCTTGTAAAAATAAAAAGCTCTTCAAGTTGTTAAATTCTCTTTCACTGTAAGCATGTCAAGTGAATGATTTTTAACTTTAAAATACCTTGACTTAGTTAGAAACTGTAGTTGCCCATATGAGATAATTTTGCAGTTAACTGACAAATCCACAAATTTTTGATATTTCATTTTGGGAAATAAAATCTATTTTGCTTCTAAAGAAATTAAGGACATAGCGAAATTAGATTTAACCCACTGTATAATGTGTTGCATTTGGTTCACTGGTAAAAAACTTCTCAGTATCTCAATTCTTTGTAACTTGACAGTTTCAAAAATGAAACATTTTACATTTTCTCCATTCAGTTAGCATTGGCTAAGACTCACAGATTTGTTATTCATGTACTTACCATATATATCTATGAAAACTATAATTTGGTTAAATTAGAGCCAAAGTCCTGATAGCTGCCATTAAACTAGCTTATCCAAACATTTTTTTATTTTTCTATATACATGGCTCAAGAAGAAAGAATTAGCCTGGAAAAATGAGACTTTCATATGGGAATAAGACTCGCACGTCACTGGAAATCTGCTTATTAAAATGTTCATGCCAAAATTCCAGTCATACTTAAAACGCAAAACACTGATTTTAAACTCAGAGAAAAGAGAAATGAGCGTTTCCAATAGAGCAAGACTCTTTGTGTTTGACCTAGAAGGATGGTGAGTCCATCAAATCTGAGAGGTGAACATACTCTGTGCTTTGCAGGATAAAATCTTAGAAGCCCCAGTTCCTAAGGACTTTAAGCGCAAACTTCTCCGCTTTCTAAAAAGCACTCGGGTATCTGCTTCACTTCACTGACTTTAAACAAGAAGTAGCATGAAAGTTGTCTTAGGTTGTCGAATTAGCTAGAATACATATATTTTGTATGCAGTATGATCACTATGATCCTGAAAACTGTCTTACTCCAACAAGAATATTATTTATTTAAAACAAATTACCTAATATGTAGCAAAACCAGTGTTTGATCCCTCAGCACAGGAAAGACATGGACCTGTTGGAGCAGCTCCAGAGGAGGGTGACAAAAATGATCCAAGGGCTGGAGCACCTCTCCTATGCGGAAAGGCTGAGAGTTGGGGCTGTTCAGCCTGGAGAAGAGAAGGCTGCACGGACACCTTTTAGCAGCCTTTCAGTACTTAAAGGGGGCCTATAGGAAAGATGGGGACAATCTTTTTAGTAAGGTCTGTTGCAATAGGACAAGGAGTAATGGCTTTAAACTAAGGGAGGGTAGATTTAGGCTAGATATAAGGAATAACTTTTTTACCATGAGGGTGGTGAAACGCTGGAACAGGTTGCCCAGAGAGGTAGTGGAGGCCCCATCCCTGGAAACATTCAAGGGCAGGTTGGACGTGGCTCTGAGTTGAAGATGTCCCTGCTCACTGCAGAGGGATTGGGCTAGATGGCCTCTAAAGGTCTCTTCCAACCCAAAGTATTCTGTGATTCTATAGTCATCTCACATGGTACAATTCTCATGGGAGCCCAAGAGAATTCTGCTTGCATTAAGAAGTGAAAGTCAGCAAATGCATCACATTGCCTCTTTTTTTTTTTTTAAAGACAATTGGTAAATGACAAGATTTTACTTTTATTTCTGCAGAGTATGGGCAATTTCAAAGTGCACAGTTGTTTTACTAAGACATTATAAATACATCACTTGCAAATTAATTTAAAATTTTCTTATTTTTGACTGCTGTCTTAGCATTTCAGTGTACATGGGAAAACAATTTACTGATGAACTGATGAAAAATCTCAGAGTAATTTAGTTCAATATTCATTAGACCTATTTAGGCAGATGAAATTGTACAGCCCTGATGTCATACTGATGATGTCCATCATCTGCATCAAACAAGTATGAGGGACAGTTTTTTTTTCCAAGAACATTTAATTGGGTTAATCTCCTCAGCAAAGTCATACAAAATCCTGACTTTCCTACTAAAGTTCTTAAAAGTTCAGACTAATTAATGTTTTCTGAATGTGTTGTCAAGCAAAGTTTAAAGAAGGACATGTGAAATGCAGTGCGTGGATGGATCTGAGTGGTTATCACGACGTAAAATGTATATCTGTCAAGCTGCAGACTGAAACAAATAATAGCAACCTAAATAGTTTCTGGCTTTAATCTCAGCAATGGATTATAAAGAATATTAGAATATAATTTGTATACTTATAGTCTATTTTATCATATAACTACTCTTTCTTTTTGCTTCCTGGAAAAT